ATGAGGAAAACGAAACATGGAGGAAGACATGGAGGAAGGAAACCGAATCCATTCTTACAACGGCGATGCTGGAAAAGGCAAGAAGAAGTTATCGCTAAATTGTTTGTTTGACCTTCCTGCCATTCCGCCTGCACACCAAACTGCAAAGACCAAGGTGCATGGCGCGACGCGCTAATGCAGTCTTGTAGCGCTGCGCGCTGGGAGGGGGAAGGCAGAGGGGGGGTCTCGAGAGCGGGATCCATTGACTCTCTACGTACTGGGACCTCGCTTTTTGAATCATGCTTCCGATGTAAGGAGATTCGGACTCCTTTGGCCTCAATCGGGTGGTGGGGCCTTGTGATGATCCAGCTGCCTGCGTCAACCCCTGCCGCTGTGCCAGTGCAGCTGCGCAGCAGGAAGGAGGTTGAGTTTACGACCTTGTCCTGTTCAGTAAGATGTTTGAAGGGCGCGGGTCTTGAGCACCCCTCCTCCTTCCCTCCCTCTTCAGGGCCACCTGGGGGCTTCATGGCGGCGTCTCCAGGGCCCCTTTGGGGGCCCCTGGATCTCCCTATGGGGGCCTCTTGAGAGCCTGCTGGCAGACCTTTCATCGCCCGTTGGGGATCTCGGGGCCGTCTTGACCGCGATTGTGTTCAGAAGAGGAAAAAACACACAGTCACAAGTCATCGTCGATTCCCAGCAAAATATTGGAAAACATGGGAAGTGGGGGGGTAGACAAACACCCAGAAAATATGGGAAATCTGGGGAATCCTTTTATTTGTGTGTATTTTATTTGTGTGCCCTGGGGCCCCTTCAGTTGTTCTGCAGAGCTGTCCCGAAAAAGGCTCGGCAAGAGCCACCTCGTAGCTGCTGCGACGCCCTCGGACCTCGGAGCCGCGGGCCGGTCCTGGGGCGGGCCCGCGGCGATGCCTTGGGCAGTCTCAGGAGGGGAGAAAAAAAAAACACACAGACACAATTAATCCTCGATTCCCCCAGAAATATGGGAAACTATGGGAAGTGGGGGGGACGACAAAAACCCAGAACATATGGGAACATATGGGGAATCTGTTTATTGGTGTGTATTTATTTGTGTGTCCCAGGGCCCCTTCACAGTCTCGGGCTGGGAACGTCGTGAGGCTTTCCGAGGCCTTCCCGGGGCGATCCTCATCCCAGACGCCCCGGACGCGAGAATACACGTGGTTCATTTCTAATGATTCGAAGGTTCTTTGATTTTTTGGGGGGCCAAGGTCCTCTCAGTTCTAAGTGTTCTATCCTGGGCCTCCTTCCTGGCCACTAGGGGGCCAGGAACAACTAGAAACGAGCACAGTTAGAAACGAGCACGATTAGAAGGGAACGACGTGTACGTTCAATCCACGCCACCTCCTCGGGCATCGGCGGATGCCTCTTTGGGCGGCTCCTGGAGGTCCCCTGGCCTGGGGCGTCCGAGAAAGGTCCTCTGGAGCCTTCGGGGGTCGTTCCTCGCTGGACCGTCCTAGGGCGTCTTGAGGCCTGTGGGGGGCGGCCTCTGGCCTGGAGCCGCAGAGGGGCCAACCAAAAGGGCGCGGGGGAGCGGGCTCACGCTGCCCTGCCCCGGACCAGCGCAGCGGATACGCACCTGCACGCATGCACACCCGCAGCAACCCTCGCAAATCGTGTGCAATCACGCGGCGCCGACGTGGCACGTGTGCTAAACAGCCGAGCATCGCTGCTCCTCGTCGCCCCTGTTGGACCGAGCCTAGCTCCTGTCCGTCGCACCTGGGCCGAGCACCGCTGCCTCTGTCCTGAACCGAGCACCGCTGCTTATCCGGGGGCGGCAAAGAGGGGGGTGATGACTAGGGAGGGTGGATATCATGGCGTGGGCCATGATATTTCCCCAGATTTCATGGCGCCTCTTCTTATCTCATTGCGTCCCTGGCCCCCCCGCTGGGCCGCGCACGTGCCGGCGGTCATGATTTGCACCCCCCCCTCTTGGACACCCCCCTCTTGGCCGCTCCCGACTTGTGTGCCGTGCCCTCGCTGCTCGCGCCGCCCCGGGCAGGCACAGCGCCACTCGCGCGCGCGGCCCGCCGCCCCGGATCTCCCCTCCGCCTCGACGTGCCCCCGCCGGCAGGCCGCGCGGCCCGAGGCGTCCGCCGTCGGCCGCGGCCGACTCCACGCTGAGATCGGGGGTCCGCTGGGGGGGCGGGGCAAGGCATGGGAGGCACAGTTCCACTGCTCCAAAGCTGGGCGAGGGCTGCTAAAGGCGTGGCTGCTAAAACGGCCCTCCCGGAAGGAAAAAACAGCTTCCCGGCATGAGGCGCGGCACGCGAAGCAGTCGACGGGCTTCTTCCCGGAAGGACGAAGACAACTTCCCGGAGGTCGATTTTAGCAGCCACGGATTTAGCAGCCCTTGCCCGGCTTCCGAACTACTTCTCCAGGGAGGGTGTAGGGGACTGTTTTCGGACGCGGGTTTCGGGGGGGAAGGGGGCGCCGGCAGAAGCAGTGCGGACACGTGCCAGACGCCAGAAAAGCTTTGCGACTCGAAGGCGCGGCGGCGGATCATTTCGCAAGCTTCAGGCGTACAAAACAAGCATTGGGGCCGACATGCCTGCGTGTTTTACCTTTCGGCGCGGCGTCAGGTACGTTCGCTCGCTTGGGGTCTTCCCGGCTGTTGCCAGAGGTGGCCCTGGCCCGGCCCAAGGGGGCCACGGCTTTCGCATGAAGGTGCAGGCGGCTTCCAGAGCACCCCTCGCGAGGCCCAGAGGGCCCCAGAGGCCCCAGCAGATTGTGGGACAAACTGGGGGAACCTTGGGCCAGGACTACTTCTGGCCGCACCCGGTTGGGGCACAGAGCGCCGCCTGCCAGACCACCGCAGCTTGATACCGAGCTGCCGACACGGAACCAGAGACAGACAGGGCAAGAAGCAGACAAAGAGAAACATTAAGAATAACCACAATACTACGATTCATAACATATATAAATAAACATTCACAAATAACAGTGAACACAATACAATTCATGATAATCATGACGATGACAATGATGAAAACAGTAGTAAGACCATTACTACGGATGGTACTACTAAGAATAACCAGAAGACGGGGACGAAATCAACAATAATAATGATCACTTTAAGCATAAGAACAATACTAATAACAAGAAGAACAAGCGCGCACGCACGACAGCTGGGGCACAGCGCCGAGTTTCTGTTTTCTGAGAAGGCTTGGGACATGTTTCAGAAGGCCAGAGGCTTTCTGAGACTTCTGAGAAGGCCCGCCCCCTCAGCATTCCCCCTGGGCTAGCCGCCGAGAGAAGGACAGCATGCGGAGCACTGTTTTCTATTTTCGGGGGAGTTGCTTGTGACCGCCTATGGTGGGGCATGGCGACCAGTTTTCGAGCTGAGCGCCTGTGCAATGCCATCGTCTTCGGCGCCCAACCTGTGATGCCAGGTCCAGGGGCATTTATCAGGAGGTGGAAAAACACAGACACAATTAATCGTCGATCCCCAAGAAAATATGGGAAAATATATGGGAATTGGGCGGGAAGACAAGAACCCAGAAAATATAAGAAAATATGGGGGATCCTTTTATTTGTGTGTATTTATTGGTGTGTCCCAGGGCCCCTTCAGTTTAGAGTCAGCTCCCGTGCTCAGCCTGGAGCCCGAGAGGGCGAAGCGAGCTGTCCGGTCGTCGGCGCGGGGTTCGGCCTTCCCGAGGAGACCCGCGGGTGCCCCGAGGCGGTCCACGGTGGCAGGCCGCCGCTGGCTCCCGCCGCGGCTCCCGCGCAGCCGGAGGCGGAGGAGGCTCCGGGGGGGGGTGCACGTGCCCCCCCCCCCCCCCCCCACAGTGCGGAGAAACCTCGGGCGAGGGCGAGAGCACGCGTGAAGCTTGTCCACCAGGCGCGATGCTAAAGTGGTTCTGCCTGGGCACCGGTGCGACCAGCGAGCACGACCACGGGGGCAGACGAGTCAGCGACGGAGCCATGCACGAACGCGCTCGAGCAGGCAAGTCATCATGCACGAGACAAGCCAGCGAGCCAGCGAGCCAGCGATTAAGCAGGTAATCGTAGATGCAGTCACAGGAGAACCAATAGGAGCACAGAGCCCCGAATGACTTGCCTCGGGCCAATTCTCGAAGACAGAGGGGTGTCGAATCGGCAGTGCCATTTGTACGTATTGGAGTAGCACCCCGCAATTGCGGATAAGAGTGAGGGGGCGGGCGCGGGCGACGCGGGCGTCGAGCCGGCGGACCTCGTGGCCCTCACCTTCCCTGTTGATGGCGCTTTTCTCCTCCTCCTCCTCCTACTCCTCCTCCTCCTCCTCCTCCTCCTCCTCCTCCTCCTCCTCCTCCTCTCCTCCTCTCCTCCTCCTCCTCTTCCTCGTCCGCGTCCTCGTCCTCATCGTCGTCGTCGTCGTCCGCCTCCTCCTCCTCCTCCTCTCCTCCACCTCCTCCTCCTCTTCCTCCTTTTCCTCCTTTTCCTCCTCCTCCTTTTCCTTCCGTTTGGAACGGATGCACAAGAAACCCGCCACAGGCGCCGAAGTTTTGGCTTGTTCAGTAAACGTAGTGTTTGTCGCGGGTGGGTCGCGGGCTCTCCACCTCCACTTGGAAGGAATTCAAAAACAGCCCGCCGCAGGCGCCGAAAATTTTGATCCGTAAGGGCTTCGCCCCCTGCCCCGCACCCGAATTTCAGAAATGTGGCAAATCCCATGTGTTTTTGGACCCTGACCCCGCGGATCTGCGTGAGGGGTGGCACCGAATTTCAGAAATGTGGCAAATCCCTTGTGTTTTTGACCCTGACCCCGCGGATCTGCGTGAGGGGTGGCACCGAATTTCAGAAATGTGGCAAATCCCCTGTGTTTTTGGACCCTGACCCCGCGGATCTGCGTGAGGGGTGGCACCGAATTTCAGAAATGTGGCAAATCCCTGTGTTTTTGACCCTGACCCCGCGGATCTGCGTGAGGGGTGGCACCGAATTTCAGAAATGTGGCAAATCCCATGTGTTTTTGGACCCTGACCCCGCGGATCTGCGTGAGGGGTGGCACCGAATTTCAGAAATGTGGCAAATCCCTTGTGTTTTTGGACCCTGACCCCGCGGATCTGCGTGAGGGGTGGCACCGAATTTCAGAAATGTGGCAAATCCCTTGTGTTTTTGGACCCTGACCCCGCGGATCTGCGTGAGGGGTGTCGATTTCGAGCCCCCCCAGCAATTCAGACAACGCGCCCAGGGGACGCTGGAAAATCCTGTTTGGGCCTCCCCCCCCTCGCGCGGTCAATCAACTAGTTACAGTAACCAGCAATAACTCAACTAGTTACAGTAACCAGCAAGAAGCAGAACTGTAACACTGGAAACTACAACCTACGACTGGCACAGGAAACTGCGAATCACGTGCCTACAGCCTGGTGGCCCCACAAGGGGGCCGGCGGATTTGTACACTGAACGCGATTTGGGTCGCACAGTGAACGTAGTTTGGGTCGCGGGTGGCTCGCGGGCTCTCCACCGTCACCTGGAAGGAATTCAAAAACAGCCCGCCGTAGGCGCCGAAAATTTTGATTTGTACACTGAACGCGGTTTGGGTCGCGGGTGGGTCGCAGGTTCTCCACCTGCAACGAATGCACAAGAAGCCCGCCGCAAGCGCCGAACATTTTGGGTGGGTCGCGGGGTGGGGTGGGCCGCGGCGGGTGGGTCGCGGGTGGGTCGCGGTGTGTCGCGGGTGGGTCGCGGGCGCGGTTTGGGTCGCGGGTGGGTCGCAGGCTCTCCACTTGGAACGAATGCAAAAGAAACCCGCCGCAGGCGCCGAAAATTTTGGGTGGGTCGCGGGTGAGTCGCGGTGGGTCTCGGGTGGGTCGCGGGTGGGTTGCGGGGGTCGCGGGGTGGGTCCGGTGGGTCGCAAGTGGGCCCCGTGGGTCGCGGGTGGGTCGTTCTCGGGTGGGTCGCGGGGTGGGTCTCGGGGTGGGTCGCGGGAGGGTCGCGGGTGGGTCGCGGGGTGGGTCGCGGGTGGGTCGCGGGGTGGGTCGCGGGTGGGTCGCGGGTGGGTCGCGGGGTGGGTCGCGGGTGGGTCGCGGGGCGGGTCGCGGGTGGGACGACGACAACAACAACCAACCAACAACCAACAACCAACAACCAACAACCACAACAACAACAGCAACAACAACAACAACATCAACAACAACAACAACAACACGAATCCGCATCGCGGAATTCCACTTGAGCCACGCACCCAGGGACAGTGAATGACCGTTCTGCTCAGCCCCCCTCATTTTGATATATATATATATATATATATATGTATAGAGAGAGAGGGAGAGAGAGAGAGAGAGAGAGAGAGAGAGCGAGAGACAGAGTCCACCGTGTTACCATTATGCTGCAATATCATGGCGAGACTGTTGCGTATGAAGTGCCCGAAATGGACCTCCAGACCGCCTGCGCCCGCGCCCACTGGGGCCTTCGGGGGGCCTCCCTGAAGTGCCACGGCGCGTGTGAGGAGCGTGATGAGTTCCAGGCGGGCACACCCTGCGCCAGCGCCCGCTGGGGCCCCGGATGGAGGGCCACGAGCACGTGTGAGAGGCGTGCCGATTTGGAGGCGGCTGCGCCACGCGCGCGCGCCAACTGGGGCCTTCGGTGGAGCTCCCCGAGGACCACGAAGCGCGCGAGGGGGTGTGCCAAGACAGACGTGCGCAGGGGGGATGCGGAGGGCAGAGGCAAGGGGGGGATGCGGAGGAAGGGAGAGGGGATTAGGAGGAGGAGGAGGAGGAGGAGGAGGAGGAGGAGGAGGAGGAGGTGGTGGGAGAGCGCGATGCAGCGGATTCAAGATGATGGCCCAACACCCCTGGTTGACAAGATGCTTGGCCTCCCAGAGCTAGGCGCCTTGAGGGGCCTCTCCGAGCGCTGGCGCCATCGGCGGTCTTCTTGGAGCCTCTTGGGGGCATCCTGGGGGTTCTGGAGACCATGGAACCGTCTCGGGCTGGTCTTGAGGCACCTTGCAGCCATGCTGAGGCGGCCGGCTCGGAAACCGTCGCAGGGAGGGGCGAATCTCGATCAGCGAGTCTACACATTGTTCATTTTTTATTCTTCGAAAGTTATGTGATTTTTTGGGGGGCCAAGATCCTTTCGTTTCTAATTGTTCTATCCTGGGCCTCTTCTTGGCCACTAGGGGGCCAGGAACAATTAGAAAGGAGCACAATTAGAAATGAGCACGATTAGAAATGAACGACGTGTACAGAAACCTTGCCAGACAGACCACAGGCTTTGAAAGCGTCGCAGCGTGCCCTGGGCTCGGTCGCGGACTACGGGTCGTGCTCAGATGCGCAGCGCGCTCGGGCGCTTTCCGTTCTGCGCTCCGCGTGTCCTGCCCGAGTGTCGCCTGCCCCCCAGAAGGGATGCGGCAGCACGGCTGCACACGAGGTGACAAGAGATGGAGGAGCAGGTCGACGGAGGTGGGGGCCAGGGGAGGCTTGGGAAGGCCCGGGATGCTCAGGGCTTAGAGGAGGAGGAGGAGGAGGAGGAGGAGGAGGAGGAGGAGGAGGAGGAGGAAAAGGAGGAGGAGGAGGAGGAGGAAAAGGAGGAGGAGGAGGAAAAGGAGGAGGAGGAGGAGGAGGAGGAGGAGGAGGAGGGGCAGGAGCGTGGCGGAGAGGGAGGGCAAAGCAGAAGTCCGACGCGGGGAGGGGGGGGAAGGAGCGGGCGGCACCTGTCCACGGCCAGGGGCGGTGGACATCGGACTGGGTACTCCAGATTTCGTAATAAGAGGTAGGGGGTCTGGACCCTCCAAGACAAGCCATTTCAGACCTCCCCCCGTGGGAGAACCCTCCAAAACATCGTCCCCAGACCCCCCCAGGCCCTCCAAGATAGCCTGGAGAGACCCCCCCCGAAATGAGACCCCCCTCCCTTTATTACGAAATCTGGAGTAGTCGAAGGCCAGACTGTCAGATTGGATTGGGCCCCAAGGGCCAATCCGGCCCGGCCAAACCGGATGATTTGGGTGATTCGCCAGACTGGATTCGCGTTGGCTCTCTCGCCAGAGTGCCCCCGTTTGCCAGATTGGGCCTGCCAGATTGGCGCCAGATTGGCTTCGACTACCCAGTCAGAGTCTTCATTCTCTTCTGCCATCCCTGGGCTGACCGTGCCTTGCGGCTTTCCCCTGCGAGCGTGCGCCTGCGCCACCCGTCTCAACGGGCCCCGTGGTTGAAGGCGGCGCGCAGCACGGAGCCGCAAAAGTCATGGCCTAAAGTCGAGTCCGCGGACCTGCGGTGGGCACGACATGACGGACCATGGCCTCGGAATCCAATGCCCTGCAAGCCCCAGGCAACGATTTCGGTCCCATCGGCCCGCTGAGCCAGTCTCAGGTCCAGCCCTCCCGAATTTGGGAACACGCGAAGGTCTGGGATGGGATACCCTGGTCGATACCCCCTCCAGTCGGAGCATGTTCCCAGAGATTGGACCGTGCGAAAATTGCCACATCGCGAACAGATCACCAACAGAGCCCCAGACCACCTTTCTGCGGCGTTTTTCAAGCCGGATCGATCTGTGATGGTCCCGAGGCCCGAAGCCTACGGCCAGGAATGTTGGCTCAGCGTGCCGTTCCGCCGGCTCTGGCCCACCACGCTCTGACGCGATATTCTAACTAGGTCCCTCCTCCTCCTCCTCCTCCTCCTCCTCCTCCTCCTCCTCCTCCTCCTCCCCCTCCTGCAACTTCCCCAGCATTTCGAAGCCTCCCGCCCCAGGAGGCGGAGCGACACGCCATCCGCTCCCAAGGCATGGCGTGTCGCCAGGGCCGCCGCCGCGACACGCTTGGCAGAAGCTCCCGTCCGCGGTAAAACACGCCGCGTGTGAAAAAGCGGCGTCTGCCCGGATCTCTGGGTCGCTTGCACCCGTATCGTTTCGTTTTCGATCTAAACGCCAACGCGTTTTCAACATCGTTGTGGTCGGTCCTTGGCCGGCGGGCTCCCAGACCCCGAGAGGCGCAGGCCGCCAGGAAGGGCGCCAGGGTGACGTTCAACGCCTCCCACACGGACTACGACGTCGTCCTGGCCGCCGCGGAAGCCAGGGGCTGGCGCGTGGTCAAGAACGAGGACAAGGCCGGCCAGTGCCATGTCCACTGGATCGACGACGGGGCCATCTCTGGTGTTGCCAGGAGTGTCCCTGGCCCAGGGTGTCTCCAGGATTCCCAAGGGGGCCCCCCAAGGCCTCCTATAGAGCACCCCCCACGGGGCCCAGGGGCCCCCCAGGGGCTCCAGAACGTGTAGCGAAAAGCTGGGTGCACCCTGGGCCAGGGACGCCTCCAGCAACCCCCGACGATCGGGGATTGGCTCAAGCGCATCGAGCCGTGGATGCGGGTGAACCACTTCCCGGGCATGAACAACGCGCTGGCTCGCAAGACGAGGCTGGCGCGCAACATGTCCAGGATGCAGAGGATCTTCCCGAAGGAGTACAACTTTCTTCCCCCCACGTGGGTTCTTCCAGACGACCTGGGCGAGCTGGAGAGACGAATCGGGGAAGACTCGAAGGTCATCTACATAGTGAAGCCCGACCATCTGTGCCAGGGCCGGGGTATTTTCCTTACAACAGATTTGGATCGTATCCGGCAGTGCACCAAGGAAATGAGAGAAAAGGACCAGGCGGCTGTTGTCCAACGTTACCTGATGAGGCCAATGCTTATTGATGGCCTGAAGTTCGATCTTCGACTGTACTTCCTGGTGTGCGGAAAGCCCAGCCAGGGCGGACTTGACTTGCGGTGCTTCCTGTTCAAGGACGGCCTGGTGAGACTCTGCACAACGCCTTACCAGCCACCGACGGAGGAGACCATGAAGCAGAAGTGCATGCACCTGACGAATTACGCCATCAACAAAAAAAGCAAAAACTTCCAGCAGAACGACGGCGAAGACGGAGGCAGCACGGGCAACAAGCGATCTTTGAGCTGGTTTCTCAACTATGTCGAAGAGGAGCACGGTCCGAAGGAACGCAGAAAGCTTTGGATCAAGATGATGGGTCTCTGTTCAAAGCTCCTCCTAACAGTCCAGCCAACCTTGGAGGCAGAGTACTCTGGCGTGTT